CCGAAGAGCGGGCCCCAGGACCCGTAGCCGTTGTTGACGGCGTCGGAGACGCCGGCGACGATGCCGACCATGTTGATGATGATGAGCGTGGTGGGTGGGATCAGCAGGGTCGTCCACTTGAAGAGGTAGAGGTCGCCGAAGGCGTCGGCCTCGTCGGCGCCCGCCTTGGAGGTGACGGTGAAGTTGGTGTCCACGCCGCCCAGCACCTTGAGGAAGCCCTGGAAGACGGCGAACAGATGCGCCGACACGCCGCCGATGACCCAGAACTGCTCGTTACGCCACCAGTCCTCGATGCTCACCCCGCTCCACCGCAGCTCCAGCACCCCCGTCGCGATGATGGACATGAACAGGGCGATGAACCAGATGCTCGCCAGGTTGTTGAGCTGCACAGCACCCACGCACGGTCACCTACCGATCACTTGCTTGCCAACGCAGGCAGACCAGCTTGGTTGAAAGAAGTGGTGAACGCTTACCGTGGGGATGATGAACTTGCCGGTGAGGAGGCAGACGGCGGGGATGGTGCAGTAGGCGATGAGGGGAATGGAGGTGAAGGGGTAGACGATGGTGTTGGTGTAGGCGAAGCGCTCGAGCCACTTGAGACGGCCGCCGTAGGCGTACCAGAGCGGGCAGTGGCGACTCATGAAGATCTCGACGGAACCCAGCGCCCACCGGAGCACCTGGTGAAGCCTGTCCGACAAGTTGATGGGCGCCGACCCCTTGAACGCTGGGCGCGTAGGCGTGCAGTAGACGGACTTCCACCCACGGCAGTGCATCTTGAACCCCGTCAGGATGTCCTCTGTCACTGACCCGTAGATCCACCCAATCTGCATAATTTTCAAGCCAGAAATCAAATCAAAATGGATTGTTAGTCAAAAATCATGAATGGGAAGCTCCACGAATGGCAGAAGCTCATCCAAGCACCAGTGGTCTAGTGGTAGAATAGTACCCTGCCACGGTACAGACCCGGGTTCGATTCCCGGCTGGTGCATTTTTTTTTTCTATCTGAAGAAATTTTACAGTAATAAGCAACTGAATGATTTACCTCTTTGCCCCACTCGGTCTTCTCCTCGTACCCGCAGCTGATGACGTGGATGGCCTCCTTGATGAGTCCGGCGGGGTCGGCGGCGGCGCCCTGCGGCAGCCCGCCGTCCTCGACGAGCGTGGAGGCGATGAACACCGGCGACTGCCCGAACCTCTTCTGGAAGCTCTTCTGCGACATGAGCGAGGAGCGCTCCAGCTCGTCGTACCCCTCGATGCCCTCCTCGATCTCCTCCAGCTCGTACCCGCGCTGCTGCTTCCTGTACGACCCCTTCTTCGGCCCGCCGCCGAGCTTGTCCTTCTTGCCCCGCTTCTTGTAGAACCCGAGGAGCCCGCGGCGCGGCTCGTCGTCGCCGCCCTTCTTGTCCTTGTCCGACTTGCGGTGCTTCCCGCCGCCGAAGCAGCAGCAGCAGCAGCACCACGAGGGCCAGCAGTCGCACGTCATCTTGGGCCTCTTCTCCGGCCGCGGCGGGTCGTACCCGTACAGCGCCTGCCTGTTGAACACGCACCCCGTGCCCACGTACACCGGCCCCTGGATGCCGTCCAGCCCCTTCATGTTGATCTGCAACAACCACAACGCCACGCCACAGCATTCATCAGCTCAGGCCAACGCTTCGGAATGAAAGTGAAACAGAAGGTGTGAGAGGATGGGGGGGCTTACGTCGAAGAAGACGACGTTGCGGTTGGCGTAGCGGTCGTGGAGGTCGATGCCGTCGAAGCGCTGGGGGAACTGGACGTAGCAGAGCTTCTTGCCGAGCTGCGGGTCCATGAGGAAGCACATGGCCTCGCGGACGGCCTTGCTGTTGTTCACGTAGTGGTCGCAGTCGAGGTTGAGGATGAAGGGCGCGTTGGTGAGCACCGCCGACACCCGCACCAGCGCGTTCATGGCGCCGGCCTTCTTGTGGTGGTTGTGCCCCGGCCGCTTCTCACGGGACACGTACACCAGCCGGGGCAGCTCGTGGCCCTCCACGTCCAGCGCGCCCTGGCTGCCCAGGTACACCTGGATCATGCCGGGGTGGTCCCTGGTGTTGTTCCCGGGCCACGGCGTGCCGTCCTGCATCACCCACCCTTCCTCGGGCTTCTTCTCGGCCTTGGCCACCAGGCCGTTGATCCGCACCTTGAACTCCTCGTACTCGCGCTTCATGGCGCGCCGCTCCTTGACGAACGTCGGCTGCACCTTGTCCTTGAGGTAGTCGATCTTCTGGGAGAAGTAGAACTCCGGGGCCCGGGGCTCGATGGCGAACTTCTTGCAGAAGGGCACCCAGCGGCGCGCGAACTCGGCCGTCTCGGAGAGGGTGTCGAAGCAGAGCATGGAGGCGCCGTCGTCGGAGACGTAGCAGCTGTTGCGGTCCACGGGGTAGTCCACGGCGAGGATGGAGAGCACGGTGTTGGCGGTGATGATGGGGGGCTCCTTGAGCGGGTCCACCGTACTGACGAAGAAGTCGATGGGGGACAGCCGGGACGGCTCGCCCTCGCGGTCGTACCGGAGGGCGAGGCGGTCCAGGTACGTCTCCCGGGTCACCGGCGACCACTTGGGCAGCTGGTCCAGGATCCAGGAGAGCGCGAACCAGAGCTCGCAGATGACGGACACCAGCCACAGCGGGATGGCGTCGTTGGCCGGCGTCATGATCCGGAAGCGGAGGAAGAAGCAGAGCACCACCAGGCGGAGCACGATGACGATGCGGTACGGGTTGATCTGGCTCGACGGCACCGGCAGCTTGCGCCACAGCGGCTGACGCGCCTCCGCCAGCCTTCCATTTCATTTAGGCGCGCAATGAGTACCACGTACAGTACGTACGTTGGTTAGCAAATTCGAACTGAATTTTGGCGAGGAAGGCGGGGCTTACAGCATGTACTCGTCGTCGTTCTTGTCGTCGTCGTCGTCGTCGCTGTTGTCGCGGTTGAGCTTGCCCCTCTTCTCCTGCTTGGTCTTCCACTTGTCGATCCTCTCCTTCCACTCCATGCTCCCCTCCATCTCCCGCTCCGCCTCAAGCTCCTTGCCAGCAACTGCAAAATCAACACGCACCACACGAACTCCTCTTCAGTTCTTCAGATCACTCTCATGCAGCAACAACACGAAAAAAAAAAAAGAGGTGTTGTGTTGTGCACTGACCGCTTCCGCCGAAGGAGGACATCGCCGGGCCACCGGGGCGCCACTTCTGCGGCGGCTGCTCGCCGTTCTCCTGCAAGGCAAGCGTCGCGTCAGTTCACAAAGATGGTTTGCTTCGGTTGGATGTTTCAAAAATGGAAACATTGCACGCCGATCTCACCGAGTAGACGTCGAAGGGAACAGGCTCGTGAGGCTTCTTGGGGCTCTTGACCTGGAACTCGTCTTCTAAGTCGTCCATGTCGCCGTCCTCTTCGTCCCCCTCCACCCTCGGGCACCCTGCGACAGTAGATTCCGTCAAAATGTGCCCAGTTGTGATGAACCGTGGCATCTCTAACTGTCTGCTTCTGAACCAATGTGGGTGGGTACCTTTGTGGCGCTTGTAGCGGGTGTTGCACTGGGGGCAGCACTGCGTGCCGTCGCTGCGCTCGTACTCGTAGCAGGGCCGGCACACGGGGAACCCGCACTCGGCGCACGCCACGAAGGGGCTGCCGTCCTCCCGCGCCCCGACATCGTCGCCGCACGCGCGGCACACCTTGGCGGCCTTGGCCTTGGGCTCGCCGGTGTCCATGGCTGGTGCGCGACACTGCGACGGTGCCGCGCAAGGTGGCGGTGGCGGTGGCGGTGATGATGATCTGGTGGTGGAGGGGTGAGGTATCGGTGAAGGGACATGGAGGAGGAGGCTAGCAGGTGATATAGCTTGCTTGGGTGCGTGAGATGGCGCGGTAAGGTGGCAGGGCGGCGTCCGGCACCAACCGTGGGGTGGAGAGTCCGGGCTTGATTAGAGCACAAGCCAAGGCAAGGCGGAAAGATGCATGACAAGCACAGCGTGGATCGGTCGCTTGCGTAGCAAGGCCTGCGTCTGGTGTGTTCTTTCTTTGTTTAGGTGCGATGGAAAATGCCGCAGTGTTGTTGAAGCAAAAAGGACTTGTGTGATGGATGGAAAATGCGGAAAAGGAGAAGGAAATGCTGGACAGGAACGTGGTGCTGTGGGAACAAGGCCGTGGGTGAAGCAAGCGGTGAATTGAGACGTCCACGTAGGGGTGGTTCGCGGTGACCCATCTATCGGTGTTCCTTGTGCCAGGGTGAAGCCGTACGTGAGTGAGTGAGCTTCAAGTCAGTGCGTGTATAAATGGGGCATGCATGGTAGGAGAACCATGCTCAGGAGATGGAACTTGTGAGTGGTAACCAAGAACAAACTTCTTGTCCCATGGGCCGCCGAGCGTAGGAGCACACCGACGCAGTGTCCATCTATCTAGAGAGGGGAAGCAAGAACTAGTGCTCTTCCACTTGCTCGAACGTACTCCCTCCGTTTCAAAATAGATGATCCAACTTTGTACTAGCGTTGTATTAAAATTAGTACAAAGTTAAGTCATACGGAGCGAGTAAAAGGTATCATTGGGCACAGATCAAAGGTAATGAAACATGTTTCGATCTAAGCAGGCGATATTGGTAGGAAAGTAGAGAGGAAGGGAACCACAAAACATTAGTCCCATCTATTAAGAACCACAAAACTCATCTTTTTTTCCATGCAAGCTTTTCAAAGCCCACAAAAGTGGACTAAACAGCCAATACCAAGTCTTGCACAAAGGCAAACATATACTTAAAACAGTGATGATGCATCCCACTTCCCACACGAGATGGAGTTCCTCCTCTGGGTTGTTGTAATCAAGGGATATTGCGAGGAAAAATGAGTGCATACAACATCTCTGTATACCACAAGCTATCAGAGAGCAAAACGACATAATAATAGATTGGAAAATTGCCTCAAACAACATTAGCTGAGGCGGTTCGAATCTCGGTCAAACACTACAAGGCCACTTTCTGAGCTGCGGTCTTCATCATGCGTGCAGCCTTACACGGTGTATCGTCCACCTCTGCTTGGTTTCTGACTTCTCGAGTCATCCTGCATTTGAGTCACACCAAAACAGAGTCAGCAGCCGACATAGAATGTTTCTTATCTATGAGTGCCTATAGTGCACAATTTTGGGCAACAAAAACAGAGGCATACGTGGAAGCTGTAGACCATCTTATCATTGTAGTCAATAACCTCCTTCCATTTCTTGCCAATGTCCACCTGTAGTATGACGAAAGAAGGGGTGAACACATTACAACCATCTCAACATGATTAAACAGCAACATATAAGTTGCAGTCTGGGGCTTGGTGTTATTCATGGCAAATGGCCCAAACTGTATAAATGGAAGGGTGACCCAATATTACTATCTATATATGCATGCATTGGAAAGAAAGAGAATCTCTAAAGCTTGGTCTAGTTATATTGTACTCCCTGTCTCAAAATGTAAGGCGTTTTTTGATACTATAATAGTGTCAAAAAACATCTTACATTTTGAGACAGAGGGACTACAAAACAGATGGAAAATGCCCACATGGCAACGTCCTTCAATAAACGCACAAGTAAAAAATAGGGATTTGTAAAACTGATGCTAAATACGAAACAAATTTATTAAGTACATTAGTTAACACCAAATGTTTCCTTTAGTTCTTTTCCTACTGAAAAAAAAACTTAAGAGCATCTTCTTCCAATTCTCATACATATATGAATAGAGGATGCATGTTCACGTTATACATACATTCTATAGTCTACAGTGTTTCAATGTACAGTAACTACTTCTAAACACATTGCATGACAGAGACACAGGTAACATCAGTGCAGCACCACAAAGACTAGCCTTGTCAACACAATTGACTGGTACCATCCCTGCAGGCTGCAGCTAAACAGCATTGAGTAGAATAATATAGTTCCTTTTTTCCTTCGCAAATAAATTGTTTTCACTTCAAGAGATATGGAGAGGGGCCTCTTGTCAATTGAATAGAAGGCTTTTTCTGCTTCATGGACCAGTAAAGTTGGTTGTCCAATCGATACTTTGCTTTGCCATATAGTGGGTTATTTAGAATTTGTAATTAAATGCATCAGAGCTGTGGTCTGTAGAGTGCTCGTTTGTTCAAAAATTTCCCTAAAATAATCCACAAAACTAGATGCATGTTGATTGTGGACTCTAGAAGAAGCGAGGAAGCACTGGGCTACTATCCCAGTCAACATTTCAACCAATACATTAAAATGTACAAAAAAATACAACCATCAGTGAGGCTGATTTGCAAAATGTTTTTGTTCCCAAAACAAACCTGAACAGCTTCGTTACTGGCAGTCTTAGTCCATAATGAAAGCTTATCCTGTCTCTGGCGAACACTAGCGACAACACCACAAATTTCCTGGCTCTCATCGAACTGCTCTCCAATCAGAGCCATACACTGCATGTTTACAAAGTTAGTCAAAAGGATTCCGCTGGTAGGAACTTTGGAACCCAGATAAAGAGTGAGATGCTATGGTAGATCTAAGCACCTCAGAAAAATAAAATATTAATATTACAGAAATTTACCGTTTCAAGCCACATGGTATCAAGATTGGCCTTCCTGCTAGATATCACAGTCCATTTGCCCCCATTTGCACACTCTGGATCTTCCCACTTTGGTTCTACCCCAGCCTTGAATAAATGAAAATCAGCACTTCCTACCAGCTTACTCGGACGGAAAATCTGATCATACAAGCTGCCGAAGAAACTAGGAAGGCGTAAGTTAAAAAAGGAATTTTAGAATATAGAAACATATAGCATAATCATAGTCAAACTGCCCAAGAGAAAATAGGAAGAAATGCCGCAGTAGAAGTTTAGCATAACAGAAAACAGAATTTTGATTTCACTTTCCTGCACAACATATCACGTGCATTTGATACTGCTACTCCTCAAATATGATTATACATTACTGGTCTTATGGTCATGTTTGTATCTGAAAATATATGCTGCGATGGTTTGGTCCATAAACAAACCAAAATGTGTTTTGTACTGTAAGATTATTATTGCTATTTAGTAATATAGGGTTTTCCCTTATTCCCATAAAGGAAGCACCAACGAGTAAATGGTGCCTAAAGGAACGAATTAAGAAACAAAAAAGAAACAATGAAATGGCGGAGAGCCGGAGACTGAGCTCAAGCAATGGTGCCCAACTATCAGAAAAAATCTAGGAATCTTTATCCATATTGAATTAAAAACAGCAAAGGTTTGTTTATCACAACATACAAATAATGACACGTGCAAACTTGATATAAACAACACCGAAATCTCGTGTACATATGTTGAGAATTCTTATTTGCCAAACAGAACCATATCATTCTTACTCATAGGAAGATTTTCCTTCCACAACACTCAGGAGGAAGTTGGAGAAGAAACTATAGATAAAACTAGTCATGCTCAAGCAGGAATATACGAATAGAAGTACCTAAGTTGATTTAAATTGAAACTACGTAGAAAAAATTCAACGTGTATATAAAATGTTAAAAGTCAATGGGACTGTTGATAGCAACGAAATAATCCTTTATCAGCTAGAGTACCAAATAGTATCATACATGCATCATTCCAGCATACAACAAAGTTCTAACCAATGCTAAAAACGCCCCCACAGGACCCTCCCTAGATATGAGAGCTAGGCATACAACAAAACAACACTGTCCAAAAGCAATCCGACCTCTACCCACAGCAGTAACAACATCTGAAATCATAAAATCAGCAGATATCTCCAGAATAACCTAACAAATTATACTTTTCGGATTTGTTGGCGCAAGGGGGCATATCACTCGATATCGTCGGCTAAAAATCCCCATCACATAACCGCTAAGGATAGGAACCAGCAGAGCATGTAGATGACTAGATCAGATCTGAGCGGATCGGGTGAGGAAGCGCGAGAGGAGCGCGCGCACGTACCACCAGAACTCTTCGACGGTGTCGAAGGTGTAGCCCTTTTTGAGCGAGGTGCCCCAGGCGGCGCCGGGCTTGGGCTTGGTCTGGATGTCGTACCAGAAGGTCCACTGCCGCTGCAGCTTGTGCGGCCCCTTCGCCTCGGCCGCACCGGCGTCGCTCTCGGCCGCGACCTCCGGGGTCTCTGTCGCCGCCACCGGGAGCGCAGCTTCGACCTCTGCCATGTCGCGCCGCCGCCTTTGCTTTCCGAGGGTTTTGGGATGGGGAGGATGAGCCGCAGCGAGAGAGAGAGAGAGAGAGAGAGAGAGGAGCAGCCGCCGAAGGGAAAGGAAGGGGGCAGAGGGGTGGTATGAGCCGTGTGGGTCTTACCTGGGCTTCTTACCCAGTTTGTGTCTGATCTTTTGTGGGCTGAACAAGTGTAACGAAATTGGCCCTTTGTCCACCGGTTTTAGCGCTCTCTTTAGTTGTGAAGCGAGATAGAAATACCGTTCTCTGAAAAAAAAACATACAAGTAAAACTGTCGTCAAAACATTCACAAATGCCAACCCTCCCAACGAACGTTCACCAGCTAAGAGGGTTCTTTAGACATCGTTTATAGAAGATAAAAGAAAATAAAATAAAGAAAAATGAGAGAAAAGGAAAAGGAAATGACAGAAGAATACAAATCGGAAAAACAAAAATTGGAAAAATGATCAATCTCATTTATGCTTGAGTATTTGAGTGGTCTTATTTTGCTATATGCGCTTCTTTTGTTGTTGTTGATCTCGTTGAATATGTCTTGAGTGTCTCACATCATTGCCACAATATAAGCTGCATTGCATTGGAATGTTGCTCATGTGTGTGAAGGCAGGCAAACTGTCTGTGCCCTTTCAAGTGGGTTGTCCAGCTATGTGATCTCAACCTCAAAACAACTATACAAGTCACCCTACACTCATTCCAAACATTTAGGACATGAGCAAGAACTCTTCTCGCGCTCTTTGAACCATAATTCTTCGATTCCTCGATAGACTTGTGAGAGATTTGAGAGATGGTCTAACCCTATTCGAGATCGTTCTTATTCTCTCTTTTGACCAACCGCTTTCTTGATTTGAGAAGTTTCAAGCTTTCCCCTTCAATCTTGTCACTCTTGAGGGGTCGAAACTCCTAGAGAACAGGAGTCACCGGTGAAGAATCAAATTATGATTTACAACGTTGTTTATAAAGGTTTGGAGGATGTCTCAAAGTCTACCATGAGTAGCTGGGCTTCGCCTTTGTGGGGAAGATTCAAGGAGAGAAGGTGAACCATGTTGGTGTCAAGAAACCATGTGGTCTCGCACCTCTCCAAACAGTATTTAGCTTCCTTCAATGGAAGTGAACATTGAGATATATCTTGGTCTACGCGTGCTTTCGCTTTTCTATTCTAAGTTCAATTACTTTACTTTTGTCCCTTACCTTGCAAGTGTCAAGAAACTTTGGTGGTGTCACATATTTCCAAACGATGATTACCACCTCTCAAGGAGAAAGAACATCGGGATATATCTTAGTTTCCATGTGCTTCTAGTTTATTCTATTCTGAGCTCACATGCTTTCGGTTAATTATATTCCATGCGCAATTGAGTTTTACTTTGGTCCCTTCACATTGCAAGCCGCTCATATATATATTGTGCTTGTCATTTTTTTTGACAACTAAAGTTCCCTCTTTATTCATTGGTGATAACACTTACATCTTTAAGTATAAGAGGAAGAAGCTCATTAGGAGCCATTTCAATCCACTCACTGCAGAATTTAGATCTAGCTACACTAGCTAATTCATGAGCAACAGTGTTTGCTTCTCTAGGACAGAATTCATACCGAATTGAACTAAACTCACATGCCAAGTGGTAACAATCATCAATGATGACTGCTGCATTGCCCACATACTCACCGTCCTTGGTCATAATCTCCATTAGTTCTAGGCTTGCCATAGTTATATTTAGGCATCATATATTTCACATAGTCTAAACTTGTATGAAAAAGAGCTAACATTCGTAGATAGATATTCATTTTCCATGCAAACCCGCTTACATCACTTAGTATATTAACATATGAGAGGCAATGATCCTAACCTATTGCTTGACCTCCGTTCCAAAATAGATGACCAATTTTATACTAACTTTATACTAACTTTAGTATAAAGTTGAGTCAAGTATTTTAAAACGGAGGGAGTATAAACATAGTATACAAACATAGATGCACATGCATACAAGCACGCACACTTGCCCCTTGAACAGACATACGCACACCTTACCCTTGTGCATCTCCGAGAGACCGAACTAGCAAATCTGCCTTTTGTTCCGTCGTCATTTTTCTGTGATCTTTCTTAAACGCCTGCCTTGCAAAATTCGAACTAGAACCTGCAAACTTTCAAAACAGACTGAAACTTACAACTCCAAGAGTAAACTCGTGAAATTTAAATAAAAGTTCCGATGACACACAAAGCTACTATTGGTCAAATTAGAACTTGACAGAGACACTGAGTCGCGGTTTGACACACATTTGTATCAAATAACAGCCAATTTTAACAGAAATTAGATGGCAGATATGA